GGAAAAGTCAGTGGGCCAACCCCTCGCCGAAAGTCGTAAAATCTCTTGGAGGCGCTCCCTCTCAAGGATCGCTTTGGCGGGACCGGGAGAAGGGCGCCATGCTCCTGGCCGACAGAAAACATCGCCACCGAGGGGTGACACGTTTCCGAGAACAGGCTTGTTAGCAGGGTTGCCAATAGCTGAACACGGGCAGCCTGCGTACATTAACCAGCCCAACCGCAGAGCGGGAGGTTTCAGTTGGAATGCAGACCACGCGGTGCCATTAACAGGATATGGCACTCTGCGTACGCAAACTGAACTCGGCGGCAGAGGATGCGGCAACCTACCGAGGCAAGCAGGGGTTGCCCGGTTGCTAGGATTTAGCCGTCCTTTTCTTTGACTCCGCAACCTGTAGCGGGGTGCCGACACTTGGCCGTTGACACCGCCTCGTCGCGAGTGCGTCTGCTGCCGCGAGAAACAATGGTCCCTGGTCGGCTCGTCATCCCTCATTGTGTAAGGTTTGAGGTCGCAGACATGTACCGGTCCACCCACGTCCCTAGATTGTAGGTCCGTTAGCTTATAGACCAGGCGGGAGCATGAATTTTTGAGTCGGAACGGGCCCGACCACTTTGGCGCCAGCGCGGCCGAAAATCCCTTGCTGGCACGCTAAGCACGTGCGTGCGCCTAAGCACGAGGTCGCCCGTCTGATAGCGGACATCTCTGTGCGTGCGGTCATACTGGGCCTTTTGGCTAGCCTTCGCCGCTTTAAGATTTCGGCGGGCTTCGGAAAAGATATCCGTTAACCGAAACTGTAGCTGCCGGCAGTGTTGGCGGTAACGCGTTACAAGTAACGGCGTTACCGGTAACGCGTTACTTTTTTTGGTAACGTAGTAACATACTCGTTACTTTTTGAAAGAAGTAACGGGTAACGTACTTACGTTACTTATTTTGAGTAACGTGTAACGAAATTACGTTACGTTACTTTACGTCCTAAAACTTGAAAAAAAAAATAATTATTTTTTTGTGTTTTTAAGTGCCCAGTCATAAATTCCTTAGTCAAAAAATGCCACTGTCCTCCACAATTCTTTGACGTCGGTGCTCGTCAGATTTGACGTCACAGGCCATCTGCCACTGGTTTTCTCCCGCGGCTCGTTGACCTCGCTACCGCCGTCGCCTCGGCTGGAAGGCCAAGGAGGTCCGGCTTCGGGTGGATCTGGGAGATTCCTGCGTCGAAGCCTGCGTTTCGCTTCCCGCTGGGAAAGAGAATGACACCTGCGCGTCATTCTCTTTCCCGTTTTCGGGACTTCAAAAAAGGAGGAGGCCTTGAGCAATTGACCGACAGCCAACAGAGCGTGTGAGTGGCTCCCCGGACCCACGTGATGAGCAGATCAAGGCCGCCGTGGAGGGCCCGGGCACAGAAGGAACTTTCCCCCGGCAAAAAAAGAAAATAACAATACGCCCGGAAGCAGAGCACCGAACGATTCGTCGAAGTCTTGTTGCCTGACGATTCTTGTAGTGTCCTGTTTGGACAGGCAAACATTCCTGCTTTGCGGAAACCCCAACGCCACGCACATCGACCCGCTTCGACGAACGCTGTCGCGGGCAGTGGCAGGCACAATGATAGAAGTCCTCCGAGGCCCACTTCTAATCGTCCGAGGAGAGAGGGTTCAGTTTTTTCTACTATCCTAATCTAACCCTTCGTGGAACCCCAGTGGCTATTCTTTGTGCGAGAGAGAACCCGCAATCCTACTGCGCTAGAAAGACGCTTCCCGGCGATTTCTCCTGAACCGTGCTGGACGCGGATCTTCAAGGTCGCGCATCGGTTGTCAGAGCTGAAGACGATAAAACCCCCACGAAAGCAATTCGCAAGCAGTTGTCGTCACCTGTAGGATGGCTACGGCAAGCGCAGCTTCATCGCCTTGGCCAGGACTCAATAAATATTTCGAACTGACAGAAACTAAAGATGACAATTTAATTTTTAAGTGCCTTTTGTGTCAGCCACAGCTGAAACTCTTAAGTTGTGCCAAGTCCTCAAGCTCCAACCTGAAGAAGCATGTAAAGAGAGGGTAATTAAGTTTCCGCATAGACATATTTTAGCTGTGGAGCTTATGCACTTATCAGACGTCGAAACAGCAAATGTTATAGTTAGTGAATACTAAGTAACGCAACAGTAACGTGCGTTACTTTTTATCAGTAACGGTAACGGTAACGCGTTCCTTTTATTTTGAGGTAACGTAGCTCGGTAACGCGTTACTTTTATTTGCAAGTAACGAGTAACGTATTTAGTTACTTTTTTTCGGTAACGCATACAACACTGGCTGCCGGGCGTAGTCAGCATAGGCTGGCCGCGCGTCGTTCACCCCGCCGTTGACTGCCAGAACCCGGTCTATGGGATTCATGAGCTCATGCCCAAATGTGAGCAGGGCAGGGGTGAATCCCGTCGATCGGTTGACCGTGGATCGGAGGGCAAACCCAATCTCAGGAGATAAGTGTCCCAATCCTTGTGCCGCTCCGCATAAGCTGCAAGCATAGGTTTGAGATTGCGGTTCACGCGTTCGGTCACATTCGAGTGGGGGTGGTACGTCGTGGTCCTGTTGTGCTTAATGCCAAGGGCCGCACAGGTTTCCACGAATACCTTCGACGTAAAGACGCTGGCATTGTCCGTTATCAAAGCCTGAGTGTACCCAAAGCGCGAGAACACCTCCATTAGCTTATCTAGGATCACTCGAGCCGTCAGCGTTCGGAGGGGAAATAGTTCGACCCATTTGCTGAAGTGATCAGTGACAACCAGCAGGTACTGATGATCCTTCGGGCTCCTTGGAAAGGGGCCGACGATGTCGCATGCCGCGAGAGAGCAGGCGTGCTGACTCTTGATGGGCTGCAACAAGCCGGGGACTTTGCCGCCTCGCGGTTTGAGGCTTTGGCACAGGTGGCATGACCGGGCGTATGTCAGTATGTCGCTTTTCATGTTGGGCCAGGTGGCGAAGTGACACAACTTATTATAAGTCTTGGGGCCACTCGCGTGTCCGGCCGTTGGCGTGTCGTGATAGAAGCGCAAAAGCGCGCCTCTCAGCCCTCGGGGCACCACCACCTTGAACGTATCACAAGTGTCGTTCTCAGATGGTATGTACCGCAAAAGAAGCCCGCCAGCGTCCAGCAAGAACGAATCCAATGCTCCAACCACATTACCAGTGGCTTCCCGACGCTGGGCGTTTCGAGCAATACCAGCTGATCGCCCGGCGGCCGCGCCGCCCGACTCCGACGAGTCGCGCTCTCCCAGGAGCCCGTCGATTACTTCACGACAAAATGGATCGTTCTGTTGAGCTTCTCGTAGCTCTTGTTTGCTAAAGGGGATCCCCACGCCTTCAAAAGAGTCGACATGGTTCACGGTTCCGTCAGAGAGCCCCGGGGGTGCCGGTGTCTCGTCAGACTGGGCTGTGCGTGGCTCGAACGCAATCAGACATTTAGGCTGAGTTTCTGACGTGGAGGGGTCCGCAAACGCAACGGGGGCCCGAGATAAGGCGTCGGCCACAACGTTCGCGCTTCCCTTTCTGTAGCGAACCTCATAGTCGTAGCGCTGCAACGTCAACGCCCATCTCGCCAGGCGACCGGCCGGCTCTCGGAGGCGTGTGAGCCATTTCAGAGCGGGGTGGTCGGTCTCAATGATAAAGGTCGTCCCGTCAACGAACATGTCGAACTTACGGAGCGCGAACACCATGGCAAGGCACTCCCGTTCGGTCACGCTGTATCGGGTTTTGGCGGGCGTCAATGATCGGCTGGCAAAAGCGACCGGTCGGAGCGCGCCTTCGTGCTGTTGGAGCAAAACCGCACCGAGTCCCCGGTCGCTCGCGTCGGTTTGTATCACGAACGGCCGGTTCAGGTCGGGCAGCTTGAGGTTGGCGGTGGACACGAGAGCATCAGCGAGGCTTCTGAAAGCGGCTTCCTGCTCGGAGCCTCAGCTCCACTTCGCAGACTTCCTCAACAAACGGGTTAAGGGGGCCTGGACAGCCACGCAACCAGGGATAAACTGACGATAGAAGTTTATCATTCCGAGGTAGCGGCGCAGAGGACTAACGTCCGTCGGCGCCGGATACTCCAGGATAGCCTGGAGTTTTTCAGGGCACGGAGAGACGCCGCTGCGGTCGATCGTGAAACCCAGCAAAGAGATACGGGTCTCCGCGACTTGGGCCTTTTTTGGATTCAGGGTCATTCCGGCGGCCCTTAGTCTCTCAAGAACATCCTCCAAATGACGCAGGTGATCTTCGAAGGTGTCCGAGTACACGACAATGTCATCGAGGTACGCCACGGCATAGGACCATCTGGCTTCCCCGAGAACACGGTCCATGAGTCGTTGGAACGTCATTGGCGCTCCTGTAAGCCCGAACGGCATGCGCGTGAACTCAAAAAGTCCTCGGTGACAGACGAAGGCTGTCTTTTCTGCATCGTCGGGTTCGACTTGGACCTGTAGGTAGCCTCTGCTGGCGTCGAGCGTTGTAAAGAACTTTGCTCCACCGAGGTTCGAGATGATGGAGTCGATTCTTTGGAACGGATAGGCGTCCTTGCGCGTGAGTTCATTCAGTTTGCGGTAATCCACGCAGAGGCGGGAGCTTGCGTCTTTCTTTGGGACGAGCACGACCGGAAAACCCCATGGGCTCTCTGAACGCCGGATAACGCCGGTGTCGGTCAATTCATCCAGGGCGGCGTCAATGGCCTCCCTTTAAGCCAAGCTAACCGGACGAGGATTGCACCGCCAGGGGCGAGCGTCCCCTGTGCCGATCCGATGCCGCACTGAGTCGGCGCAGCCGGGTCTGTCCGTGAACATCGAGTCATAAGAGTATAACAACGATGAAAGGCGCGCCCTATCGCGACCCGCAACCCCGCAGGAGGGTGTCAGCAGTGGGTGCAAAGCATTCTCGGCCGCGCCGACGGCACGCGCCGGGCGTGCGGACGCGAAGTCCAAAACCGGTTTCGGAGAAACAGTCTCTCCCGCTCGACCAGGGTTGCTTGTGGCGCTCGTTGGCATGGGGGCCGTTGAGGTGGCCGGGGGCTCGCAGAAGGGTTTCAACGGACCAAAAGGGGCCTCACGGTAACCACCGTTACCGACGTCAATCACCATCCCCGTTCGAGCAAGGAAGTCTCGCCCCAGAATCACCGGTACAGACAGGCCGGGGAGGTGGACGAAACGGTGGCGTCTCACTCGTTGGTTCCATCGCACGACCAGCCGTACGGCGCCGCTCGATTGGGCGGTGCCGCCTGCGGCCAGTCGAAAGGACGTGTTGCATTCCCTTAGCCGCACGGAGTGCGCCTGCAGGTGTGCCAGTACGTCTTCGCCGAGCAACGATGCGCTCGCCCCCGAGTCGAGGAGAGCTGCAAACGTCCGGCCGGCGATGGTGAGGGCCAAGAACGGGGCAGGCGCATCGGGCGAAGAGTCCACCCGATACGCAGACGGAGCGAGGGCGATCAAGGGGGCCTCGTCAGCGGCGGCCGGCTCCGTTTCCCGAAGCTTGTTGAGGAGCAGGCCGCTGGTCGGTACAGTCTCGGACAAAATGGTCGGGCCGACCGCAGCGGATACACTGGACGTCCGAACCGCGGGACGGGTTCCGTCGCAAGTTCCTTGGCGGGTTGGGGCGCTCATTCTGGGCATCAAGGTGCCCGGTCTGCGCCCATCTGCGAGGCCTCGGGTTCGCGGGGCGGTCCCGATAACGCTGGTTCGCCTGCGCCTCTGTGGAGCCTCTTCGCAAACCAAAGGTGTAGGGGTCGAGAGCACGGTTAGAGTAAAGTCACTGGATCCTCGGAAAGTAACGCCAAGCTCCGCGTGTGGTCGCCATCTTGGTCCATGAAATGAGCAATTTCTCCTTGACCCCTCCGTTCTTGGTGAGCCTATCTAGATTCGCTGGTGACGGGTAGCTTTATTGAGTCGTTTTTGTATACCGAGATTTTGCTAACCACACACCGGCGAAACAGGCGTACACGTTCGTACCACCACCAGATGCTGTGTCGGTGCTTGGAGGCACTGAAAAATAAGTTTATTGTCTTGATATGTGCAAGAAGAACAATATAATTGTAAGAGATCCATGGAGATGGGCCTGATTAATAAGGTGATCGCATACGAAGTGCCAAAGACTCTTATATTGAAGAGGAACGCTTCCAGTATGATGATGCTCCATGGTGATCTTGGCGCGACTGGTTTAGAACGACCCCCTGGAAGCTTAGAAGATTTAAATGGACCAAGATCGTGATTTCCATGGCAATGTAGGCCGATTAGCCAATCGCCTTGCGAGATTTGGGTCGTCTGTATGTTAGTATATGTTTGTGTCCGGCTAGCAGGTAGGGAAGGCAATGGCGCTACGTTCCCAGGATCCAGTGACTTTAGGGCCGGCGAGAGCGAGATCCGCTGCTTCCATTCCACGCGCAGCGCGGCTCTAGGCACTCCGACGGCGGGGGCGGAGGCCGATAGGCGCGTGCTGCGAGGATATCGCCCTGGACGCGGCGCGCTTCGGCGGCTAGCTCGTCCAAAGAGCTGAACCTGCCGCCTCGTAAGTAGGCGGCGAACGTCGGGTGCGCCTGCCTGATTACCCGCTCCACTCTCTCTCCGTTCGGGGCGGCAGGGTCAGCTATCAGAAATAGCTAATACATTGCCCTGACATACTCGAGAAGCGATTCGTCCGGGTCCTGGGTCCGTCGTTCCCAACTCTCGTCGCATCCTCCGCTTATAATCTGCGGGGAGAAATTCCTGGCGGAAAGACACCCGGAACTCGTGGAGAGTGAGCGCATGCTGGCCGGCAAGGCAAAACCAACGGGCTGCCTGATCGGTGAGGGCGACCGGCAGAATGCGGCCCAGAATTTCCTGGTCAGACATCCCCATAGCCTGCTGGTAGTGAAGCAGATCCTCCAAGAAGTCAGTTGCGCTCACCGCGTCGTCGCGTGGCTCGCGGTCCTGACAAGACGGACTGCATGGCTCCGGAGGCTCTCAATGATTCGTGATGCATCTTGCAAAAGCGCGTCATGAGAGCTCTGCTGTCCATTTCCCGAGCAGACTGGTGTGGGCACGTGCAGCGCTGGGGACTCGTCTCGCAAAGGGGGACTCCCGAAACGCCGTTCGGCAAGCGATCGGCTCCGTCTGTGGGCAAGTCAATCAGATTGCCGACCGCGGTGGCCCCGGCAGAAGCTGCGTCGATATCGCGCGCGGGAAGGCTCCCCCTCGAGGGGGGGAGGGGGCCATCGCGCGGAGTGCCGAGCCCAGTGATTTCCCTACACACCCCCAGGGGGTCTACACCCCCCCTTGATTTTCTGAAGGCACCCCCTTAATTAGCAACGACTCCTTTATTCTCAATGCACCCCCCTCCCCTCCCCTAAAACTTTAGACCCCCCCTAATTTCAATTCCTGGGGAAACCCCTGGCCGAGCATTTCTGTCGCCGTGTCAGGCCGGGGGAATAAATGAGCGGCGTGACCGTAGGGTACGGTCCGCTCAACTCGCCTGTGGTGTCTCTCTGAGGCGGGTGATGCACGTCGATAAGCGGCCAAGCGGGTGGGCTCTCTCGCAAAGGGGAGGCCGACGTAGCGCGATCGTGTAGGAGACCGGCTCGTACGGACACCGAGTCTCGCTGGGGCACTGGGGGAGCGCTGCGAACATCGAGTGATCCGCTCACATCACCGGCGGCGTATCCCTCAGGTGGGAAAACCGTGCCGGGCATCGGCTCCGCCTGAATGGGTTCTCTCGAGGGAGATGTCGTCAGGGGGCCTTCGGCTGAGGCGGGAACTTCTGAATAGAGTCCGCTAGCTAAGGTCGGCGAAAGCCGCTGACCTCCGAGGGGAACGGTGGCCTGGGCGATGCGTGGTGAGTGCGGGGCAGGAAGAGGCTGCCCTCGCGTAGCCACGTCAGGCGGGAGGGGGGGCACGGGGGATGGAGGCTTGCGATGCGAGGGTAAGCAGCCAAGATGGCTGCTCCTCCGAGGCACGAGACGGGGCGCTCCGGCTGACGACTGGACAGCTCGGAGCGCTTTTCCCGCGGCCATGGGGCTTAATCAGGGAAGTGGAGCGGGCGGCTCCCACAAATTATAATGAATACGCCATTATCTCCAATGAAAAAGACATGGTAAAAAAGGGGGAGTTTTAACAGGTGTATTAGCCAGCTATATGAAGAAATTCAAAAATTATATTGAAAAGTACAAGAGATTGTTCTCCTAGCAAGAATGCGGGATGAAATAGAAGATGGGATCCAAAAATACTAGCAAAACATGCTTGTCGTTTTTTATCTAAACAAGGTATGAGATTATGTAGTTTATTGTCTGCTTCTTGATTCCATTCTACCTGCAGAGTTGATAACATGATTTTTTTTATAACTAGTTTATGTCCTCATATGGTCACCCAATAGATGCTTTTAGGTCACCATTACCAGAGTCAGTCAATCTATCTGCCGCTTCATTACCTGGAATATCTACATGGCTTGGCACCCAGCATAGTTTTATATCAAGGCCAAGTAGGAGAGCGCGATTCATTTGAACACGGGCTTGTTGTACAAGGCGATTATCTGTAACGGTAAAAGAGCATAGAGCAAGTAGAGCACTCTGGAACCCTACAAACAATATAGCCTTCCTCACAAGGTCTTCTAAAATATGTTCAAGCGCCATGAGCATAGCGTAAAGCTCAGCAGTGAAGATACTAGAAACACTGTCGAAACGTCCCGCTCTACTAAAGTATGCCAAATATACTACGGAACCTACGAAAGACGGGTTTTTGGCCCAATCAGTAAAACATTTTATATAGTCTTAATGTTTCTCTTGCAATGCGAGAAATTCCTTGTGAAGAACTTGATGGTTAACTGACCTTTTATTATAATGTGTGAGCGACCGGTCACATGATAATCTTAGTGCCTTCCACGGGGCAACAATCTGGGTTGCCTTAATCAAGTTACTTTCAGGAAGAGCCAGCTGCAGGGAGGCAGAAATGCTTTGAAGCAGGAAGCTTAATGGCTGTACTATGCGAGGTTTGTTTTCAAAAAGCTGCAAAAACATGTTTGTGTGGATAGAATTAAATGAAGGATGTACAGGATTAGATTTCGCTTTGTACCCATAACAGAAGCTAAGATATTGTCTGCGCTGTTCTAGTGAAATGTGATGTGTATCTGCATACAGGCTCAAGGAAAGCGATGTCCGAAATGCTCCTGTGGCAACTCGAAAGACAGGATGGTGGACTGGCTCTAGCATTTCTAAGACAGATTGATCCGTACACAGTTGCACCATAGTCCAGACGGGAACCGACCAGTGATTTGTACAATCGGATAAGACATCGCCTGTCCAATCCCCAGGATGTGTGTGAAAGCACTTTGAGAATATTAGATGACCGCAAGCAATTCTGTTTCAGCTCCTTGACGTGAGCCAGAAAGGTAAGTTTCTTGTAAAAGATACCCATAAAAATGTGTACTCGTATTTTATAGGTATTACAGAGGTATTGAGCTGCAAACGAGGATCAAGAAACAGACCGCAACGTATAGTGAAGAGGGCACACACTGTTTTTGGAAAAAAACTTGAAACCATTTTCATTGGCCCATTTGCTCATTTTGTTTATTGAGACTTGAAGTTGGTGCTCGCAACTTGAGAGACTGCAGGACGAAAAAGAAATCTGCACATCATCCACATGTAATGAATATGAAAGGGATAGAGATATCACTGCAGCAAGGCTGTTCATTTTCACCACAAAGTGACGCTTAATACACCTCCTTGAGAGACGCTATCTTCTACAAGAAAAACATCTGCAACTGTGGAGCCAAACCTAACTTGAAAAGTTCGGTCAGTCAAAACATTTCCTTATGCAGCGAAACATGCGGCCACGAACATCATATATGTGTATAAGTTCTTAAGAATCCCGTACCGCCACGCAATATCACAGGCTTTCTGAAGGTCAAAAAGTACTGAAACACAGTGCTGTCGATAAAAAAATGCTTCGCGCATGAAAGTTTCCAGGCGAACAAAATGATTCAATGTTGATCGCCCAATTCTAAACCGACACGGATTGGGATCCGAAATTCCCTCGGTCTCTAGAAAGTGTACAAATCGTCTATTTATTAGATTTTCATAATTTTTCCTAAGGCAACTGGTCATCGCAATGGGACGATAACTTGCTGCAAGAGCCGAGTCTTTACCTGGTTTTAGCAGGAAAATTATATGTGCCCGTTTCCAGCACTGTGGAAAGGCAGAAACTTGCCACAAATTATTAAAAAAGGTTGACAAATGGCCTAGAGATTCAAGAGTCAAGTGCCGCAACATTTCATAGTGTTTTTTGTCAGGCCCAGGTGCCGACTGCTTTTTCTGCCCCAAGGGCCACCTCGAGTTCGCACATTGTGAAAGGCTGGTTGTATACAACAGATCCCGAAATAGCAATTGGCAGCTTTTCTGCTGCAGTTCAGAACTTATTAAATTTTGCAGAATAATTAGATGAACTAGATGACTGGGATGTCCATGACTTGGGGTTGCGGAGAGGGGGAGGGGGGTCAAAAGGCATGTGTATATTATAGGGTCGGCTGTATTTAGGGGGGGAGAGGCCTGAAGCACATAAGCTCCCTCCCCTCCTTCCCCCCCCCCCCCTCCGCCCCCCCCCCCCCCCCCCCCCGGCTGCGACCCTGCTCCCTTGTAGAAAGGCCCTCAACTACTTCGGCTCCTGTACCTTCGTGCAAGTCGTCTTGTGAGATCACCCCTTGAATTGTGTAAAGTGTTTGATGAGGTGTAAAAGTGGCTTTGTAATCAGTCACGCAGCTGAGTGCTAAGAGTGAATCA